GAAAATCAATGAAACAAAGTGGCAGTTCCTTGAAAATTCAATAAAATTGATAAATCTAGCAAGACTTACAAAACTGAGAAGGGAGAATGTAAAAATCACCAATAGTAAGAAAACAAACAAACAAACAAACAGGATATCCCAACATATCCTGCAGCCATTCAAAGGATAATAAAGAAATACCACTAATAACTTTTCACTCATAAATCCAGCAACTTAGAAGAAATGAGCCAATTCCTCAATGACCACGAAGGACCAAAACTCAGCAAAGATGAGACAGATCATCTGAATACTCTTGTAACCATAACAATTTCATAATTAAAAGCTCTAGGAATTATATTCATGTAAAAAGTAAAAAAAATAATGCTTCTGAAAATCCCCAGGCCCAGAGAGGGTCACTGGAGGATTCTATCAAACATTTAATTCGGCACCATTTTTACACAATTCCTTCCAAAAAACAGAAGAAAAGGGAACACTTCCCAATTCATTTTATGAGGCCATTATTATTCTGATACCAAAACCAGGATTTATTCATCCCCACATGCCCACTTACGAAAGCATAAAGGACTTTACAAGCCCATTTTTGTGGCTTTTAGAACATGTGCAAGATTGTGGAGAGTGGAGAATGAAGCTACATATATTTCTTTTTTAGTCAAACTGAGAAAGGAATTTAGAGTTGGAGACAAGATCCAAGATGAATTCTTTTTTTTTTCTCTCTCTCTCTTTTCAATATGTGACCCACACATAAATGTCTCAGCTGTGCTCTGTCATTTGCCGTTAGTGACCAGCACTGCAAAGGAATATGAAAGCCTGTGGTCGGTCGGGAGCCAAAGTCCAGAGTCCCCCATTTGTTCTGCTATTAGTCAACCTGGTTGTGCTTGGATAATTAATTAGATGCTATCTGCCTCCATAACACGGGCCTGCAGGTTTAGTTCCAAGGGGCTCGTTTCTCTATGATCATCCATGACAGTAAACAAAGGCAACACTAGTAACTAGGCTTATGTGATTGTGATAAAGTGATTAATGCACAGGTTTAAAACCAGGCAAGCCTGGGTGCTCCTCGCAATCTGATCAACCCTGAGACCCTGGGTAACTTATTTCTGAACAGGGGTGCTCACAGCTATTTCCCTTGTAAATTTGTGGTGGGGATGAAAAAATGCGATGTTTGTAAATACTTCACATAGCAACTAGCCCCTTAGAGACCTAACTGATGGTGCCTATAATTACTACTAACATGTTTGTGGCCTTAAAAACATTTTTAGGGACACCTGGGTGGCTCAGTCAGTTAAGCGTTTGCCTTTGGCTCAGGTCATGATCCCAGGGTCCTGGGATCCAGCCCCACATTGGGCTCCTTGCTCAGCGGGGAGTCTGCTTCTCCCTCTCTCTCTGTCCTGCTCATGCTCTCTCTCTCAAATAAATAAAACTTTTAAAAACAAAACAAAACAAAAAGTTTTTAAACCAGAATAAAATCATAGCAACATAGGTATTAACTAAATGCAATACGGTAACTGACTACTAAGTAAGCCTAAAATATAAAGAAATGAAAGGCTTGCTCATCAGTACTCCATTTCAGTATTTGATCCATGGAAAAATCCTGTTCTCAGGTGGGACATTCTCACTTCCAAGTCTTTCAAAGCTGGAAGGATTTGAAAACCACAGTCTTTTTAGCTTGAACCTGATAACTGCCTTTCTATGCAGCTTCAGGTCATAGGGGGTACCTGATAATGTTAAATTGACAACATATTTTTTTTCCATTAGAGACACTTCTGTATTAATGGTTTTTATTTCCCTCATATATGTAGCTACAAAATCCAAATATCACTGTTCAAATCTACCACTCATTAATGACCCTTGTTTATAATCCCCACCAGTTCTTTCAGAGACTTAGCACCTTTGGTAGAGTAAAGAGTACAAAAAAATCACCAGGAGGAAGAATGTATGTCCCCCTATTGGGCCTCAGGGTAAGGCCTATTTAGTCAATTGTAGAATATCCGATTTCCTTTATAAAAATCCACTATGTGTAGTTTTAAGGCCTAGGAAAGATGTCGTGACTTACAGAGATTTCAATTTGGTCAAGAATGTAGGACAAAGAAGAAATACTTTTCACGACCATTAAATAAAGATTAAGAACAGTGTCAAGAAGCAAATTGGGATTAAACTCTCATTTGGTTGTAACTGAGATAAATTTGCCCCACACTAATGTCTAACCCTGTGATACGGAGTTTACTCTGACGCAGGCCAGGCAGTACCAGATACTCTGACACACGCCAGGCAGTACCAGATACTCCGACGCACACCAAGCAGTACCAGATACTCCGACGCAGGCCAGGCAGTACCAGATGAAGGTGGGAGAAGGTCGTCAGGTCCCTGAGAGTCAGGGCATCACTGTGGGGTGGTGCCAGACCGCCTCTTGTGCCGAGGTCACTTTACAGAGAGAGAGGGCCTATCTTCAAGCTCCTCCAGGAACTGTGGCTCCCCCAAATAACCACCTTGCCCCTTTGGGAAATCTCTGTTAGTGTCTAAGCTCAGCAAAAGACCTCCTAGCTGTAGTCACGTATTGTCACAGAACCATGGCATGAGCTGGACGGCTGGGATTTTGTTAGCAGAGGTGATTTTTAGTGAGGTCAGGGGACGCTGTCTTCCCAAACCTTCAGTAAATTCAACACCACGCTGGAAACTGCACTGAGATTTTCGGCTCATGCCAGGTGTGGTGGTCTCAAAAGCTAGGAGCTCAAAGGTCTCATGTGCATATTGACGCTGTCCCTTCTGGGAGGGTATCATTCACACATCAATTCCTTTTTCTCATCTCCCCACTCCCCACAGACCACCTTAGCTCCACTCACCTCCTTGACACCTGAAGCACTTCTATTTTGGATATGATGCTACTTTAAAATGCACCCCTCCTAATTGCGATGTTGTTACCTTGCGTTGGGGCTGGCATTTCCATGGTGATGTGGGATCATGGGAGAAGTCAGTGTCTCCAGGCTGCCATGGAATGTAGTTGGAGCCAGTTAGGTCTCCATGAGATGGGGGGAGGTTCTGCATCCCTAAATTCTCCCACAATGTTTTAAAAAAATATAACAAAATACCCCAGTGTTCTTGCTAATATTGACACTCATCAATGAAGACAGTGGAGAAGGGTCAAGGGGAGCCCAAGGCTTGTCCTAAACCTACTGTTGCCCAGCGAACATATTCATCCAACTATCTCAGTCCCTCACACAGACCCAGAGTTTTCCGGTTTTTGTAGGTCCCAGAACGTTTGTAACTGCACGCCTGCGTAGGAACTATACTCGAACACAAGGCTGAAATATCTCTTCAGGAAACTGTCAAATAATGGCAGTAAACTAAAATTTGGTCAATCATTATCATTAGATATCTGCACCTTTCTTCTACAAGCATTGGTAACCAAAAGGAAAACTTCACAGTGGCCTCTGGACCAGTAGCTAGAAGATCATAAATTAACTCTCTGACAAACATTAGCAGGACGAATGCAAGCAGCACATCACTATCGTATATATCTAAATTGACAGCACAGTTACCACCACGTGATAGAGATAATAACATTCTCCAACAATCAGAGAAAATATTACCCAACTATTTTCTTAAAATAATTGATCATTTTAAATGCTTTTGTGTTCGGGGCACCTGGGTGGCTCAGTCGGTTGAGCGTCTGCCTGCGGCTCAGGTCATGATCTCAAGATCCTCTCCCTCTCCCTCTCCCACTTCTCTCTCTCAAATAAATAAAATCTTTAAAAAAAATAAAAAAATAAATAAACCCTTTTGTGTTCTTATTACTATGAAAACGTAAAATCAATTCAGAGGCCAATGTGTATTTTTCCTCCAAACTATTACAGTGTTGAAACAAAAGACAGTCCGGCTGGCAGCAAAACATTTCTCTAATTCTTCTCCCACAGACTTTAAATAGGCCATGAGCCGAACCAAAGACTCTATACCTATCTGCAGTACAGAGGAACTGAGTCATTTCTCCAATCTGACAAGATGCTAGTCGTGTCCGCATTCCTATTCTCAGGGTATCTGTTCTTGGTGTGAACCTTGGCAAGCACTGTGCTTTTCGTCTGCTTATAAAAATTGTACATCTCCCATATACACCACACGTATATGTTCATATCACAGATGCATATACATATAATCAGCACAGAGATCTGATGGCAGAACAGCCATTCAGGAGACAGTGGGAGCACGTGCTCTAGCACAACCTACTTACGGAAGGCAGGGTCCCCCAGTCAGGCGGTCTTCAGCATGGCAATGAGCAGTTTCCCCTGCAGAGTGGTCAGCAGGAAGGACACAAGCCTCTCCCTAGCACAAGTCACTCAGCCCTGCTGGGTTCCTGCTGCTCTCTGGGCACCGGCATGCCATTAGGAGTGTGACACAGTAGGGAAAGAGACCGGTTCACTGTGAGACCTACTACTCACTCTCGTACAGTGTATCGGCCCCCCTTCCCACTGCACAGTGGCTGCCAAGCTCTGGGCGGGAGGCGTGTGGCCCTCGAGAAAGTGAGCCATGGAGTCAGAGTTCCACCGGGGATACGGGCTGCAGTGTCGGGGGCCTTCTTCTAAAGACAGTACTTTTTAGGATGGCATGGAAACAACCTGGTTTGGTCCCCTAGCCTTAGGAACAGGGGAAGGATTTCTTCAGGTTGAAAATGAAAAAATAAAAAAAAAGAAAGAAAAAGGTATGAACTAGGAAGATAAGGATGTGGTTGGCACTCTGCTTTAAAAGAAATTAAGAAGATCCAAAAGTAATTCATGGAGACTGTATTTAGCATGCATGTCTGGGGTGCTCGAGTGACATGGGCTTCACCTTCTTGTACCTGTTACTTTTCCACACAGAGTTAATCCAATGCTCCGTTATCTTGTCCGGGTAAAGGAAGTGAGGCGATTTAAACTGCCAAGCTTGGATAATCATCCAAAGAGGACAGCTGAGGTATTTACATGCAAAAATCACCGGTTTAGAGGAGGACATGGAAAACAGACTGCAAGTACCTGCTTGTTGTGCTGCCTGTGGCATCGGCTGACCCCTCTGAGTACTGTACTGAACGGAGGCCAGGGGTCGGTACTGCTGCGTGGTTGAGGTAGGGTACTGACCAGATGGATAGTAATATACGGACATCTGTGGAAGAAAGAGAACCACCACAGGGAATGAGAAATGTGTACGGAGTAACACTTTTTAACATAAAATATGTGGTCATCTTATGACATACTACGATTGTAGTAGATTGTAAAGATGGCCACCAAACACTTCACCCTGGCCTATGTGTGTGCATGCTACTCTTCTCATGCAGATGTTGGGAAATCGATTCCCCAAGTCCTTGAATCTGGGCTGGCTCTGTGACTTGCTTTGACCAATGTCGTGAGGCAGAAATGGTGACTCCGAGACTTGCAAGCCAGGTCCGTAAGAAGACTTGCACTTCTGCTCACACAGGAGGAATACCCAGCCACCAGGAAAAGAAGTCCAGGCCATCCTGCTGGAGAAAGAGGCCATGTGGAGAAGACCGGCACCCCACTGGAGAGGCTATGCCGACATTCTAGGCATGGGAGCGAGGCCATCTTAGATGTTCCAGCCCCAGTCAAGCTGCCTGAGCCATTACCATATAAACCAGAGCTGAACCATCCCCGCTGAGTTCTGCTGTAGTTGCTGACCTAGTCCTGAGCAACACAATGGTTGTTGTCTTAAAACACTGGATTTTGTGTTTTCAAATGAAACAAGAGTGAATGAAACAGGGGTGCCTGGGTGGTTCAGGTGGTTAAGCATCTGACTTCAGCTCAGGTCATGATCCCAGGGACCTGGGATCAAGTCCACCATCAGACTCCCTGCTCAGTGGGGAGTCTGCTTCTCCCTCTGCCCTGCTCCCTGGGCTTGTGCTCTCTCCCCATCGCTTACTCTCTCTCTCTCAAATAAATAAATAAAATCTTTTAAAAAATTGGGGGGCGGGGAATGAAACAGTCATCTACCACAACAAAAAGTTTATGGTAGTTTTAATTATTATATCTAACGAATTGTTTTTCTAATGGAAACACAAGTGAGACGTGAAAACTACTAATCTCTAGCCTATAAGAAGCAGGGGTTGGAATTACAAAATATGGTCAAGTCTATCAAAGCACTTGGCAGAGTGATTGTTGGCACAGAGCCAGTATCCAAAAGAATTTATGTTCAATCTGAAAAAAGAAAATATATTTAAAATAATGTTTATGTCACCTACTGTCACTTTCTAATGACTGGGAATGGCAGAAAATATTCTAATTATTTCCAATAAGATTCCAATCAAATGTCTCTTGATTTGGAAACATTGCCTGCCTCAGTTCATTTATATCAAGGCTGCTCTCTTACTGATCTTGAATAATTTTTCATCTCCTGACCATTCTTCTATCATCTTCTTGAAAGTGTAAACTGAGGTACACTAGGACCAGCCTACAAGTAAGTATCACATACACAGAATAAAATTACAAGCCACTTATATTCGAGAACGGTGATTTCAATGGTGATTTTATTTTCTGATTTGATCATGTCAAATAGGAAACACTTTTTTATTTCAATCTTGCTATTGAAACACATGTATCATGTTTTCTTGACTTAGCATAACATAGGGACAAAAGATAACTTAGAGTGTGTTGAGCTGTGGTTCTGCAATCCCCTGGAATTGTTATGAATCCTAATTCTGTCTGGCAATATGGATATCCAAGGGTAAGAGACTGAACGAGTCTTGAGTGAACGCGGGTCAGTATGTGGCAACTAACTGATTGTGCATTTTGTTTATAGTGATTTTTTTCTCCCTTTTTTTGTAAGGCAATTTATAACAATAAAAACCCAAAGAATCCTAGAGCAATAACAGGTTTTAGTTATGCTCTGGCAAATCATGACGCTATTAAAGATTACTACCATTATACATCAGATGCTTTCTAAAATTAAGAACAAGAACAACTATTATGGAATTTATTCATGAGCCTTATATTTCTATGTCCTTTAGGAAGAATAAACAGTTTGCTCCCTTAGGAAAATCTGTGACTTGATTCAATGGAAGCTCCTAAATATGTTACACAATCCTTGGTCTTTTTCTCTCACATTCAATATGAAACATGAAAATACCTTTAGGGATGAGGGACAGAGTTCAAACACTTAAAAATTCCCTGATGAGCACTAATGGTTTGGATGAAAGTATAACCTCTTGAAGGAGAGCCTCAATTTTTAGTACTCAGTTGTCCTGGTTTGTTCTTGTATTTTTCTCCCACCCTACCTCCTTTGATACCCTGCCAGGCTGAGCTAGAGGTTTGGTCACCTCCATTCAGTACCTCTCCCAGGCAGAGCATCGGCCAGCTCTTAGCACTTACATCTCCCAGTCATATGAAGCAAACGGGGCATGGGCACTTGGCTCTTCCTCATCCTCCCCCATGGAGGAAGGTGCTGAGTGGGGCTAAGAGGAGTCATCAAAGGATCCAAATGCAAGGTTGGAAGGGAGAAAAGAGTAAGGATAGCTCCCAAGAGGAGAAAATGTTTATTTTTCAACAACTATGTATATTTTAAGGCACGGAAAACGAAAATATGAGTAGATTAGGAGAGGAAAGCAATAAACGAGAAAAAAGAAGAAGCCATATTAACAAATCTCTTCTCCCACCACCTTCTTCAAGTCCCTCTTTGCCTTGTGCATGTGTTTCTTGCCTCACCTTCCAGGGGTTGTTCAAAAGGCTTACATAACATGGCAGACAAAACTGACTTCAAGGTTATTAAATATTAGGTTCACTTTCTGCATACATTTCATTTATTTCCATATGCCCGTGGACTGTACCTCAAGTTCTTTTCATTGTTCCATAGTTGAGTAATCAAGCTTTAAAATGTTTACTAAATTGAAACTCATAATGGGTTATATCTTATACCTAAGAAGTTCATGCATGCCCAGACTGACCAGGAACCTTGAACATCTGTTTTGTTTTTCTACTCTCCTCCCTTTCTATTTCTAAATCTTTTGAAGAAGTGTCTGTTGCAGACACACCAGGGGTTCTGAGTTGTCTTTGCTCCTGCAGTGCACTAATACTGAAATTCATTCATCAAGGAAGACTTTTTTTTTAAAGTCTTTCAAAAAAATTCTTCAATTAAATATCCTGCCAACTCTTCTTCTTGATAGCAGAAATGGGTAAGAAACACTTAGATGCTGTTTAGGATAAAAGAGCTACACTATTTTCCTCATTAATTAAACTTTAAGTATTTAATTTATTACTAAAATAATTAATACATTAATGAAGTCCTTTCTCCTGTAACTTAAAATTATTTTTTCACATCTCCTTAAATCCTACTGGTCAAGAGATATTGCAGAGAAGACAACCGAAGATGAACAATTAATTAATCATTCAAAATAAAATGAACAACTGAATGAAAATCATTTCATGGTGAAGGGTTTTGCATGGCTCAAAAAGAAAATAATTTATTCAAGATGTTAAGGCAGTGAAACAAATAATACAAAGGTGACACTGTACTTTAAACAGCTCATCCAATGCAATATTTCTTAATTAGGATGGAATTTGCTTGGGATATGTGTGCCTTGAAAATGGACCAGAAAACGCCTCCGTGCATTTTACATCTTGACAGTAATCACTTGCAATATTCTGCAAGGGATACCCAGGAGAGCACCAGAGATGTTTGGTGGTGAACAGTAACAGATAATCAGTCTTTGAGAAGACAGTAAAAATCAGTGATCTGTGGTGTCTTACATGCTCAAGTCAATTAAATATGATTAATGACTACCCGTGAGAGCACGCAGGAGCTCTGCTTCCCCCTAGGGAGAGGAAAGGACAGTGGATGTCCGCTTTAGCTTCCTCCTTTATATTCCTAGAGGAGCTCCTGCCTGGAGCACCAGATTAGCTCCAGAAAATGCTTAAGGAAAGAACACATTTCCCAAGAAGCAGCAGGGGAGAGTTGAAAGTCCCCCAGGAGCAGGCTCTCTTCTTCCTTCCTACTTTCCCTTTCTAGGCAATCCAGTGAGCAGGACGTTGCATGGGAGGGAACGCTTTCCTGCGTGGCTCCTGTACCAGCAGCATGGAAAATGGGACACTCCCCCCACTGTATCATGGGAAGTTGGGTCAGTTTCATTCAACTTACTTTCTGAGCCCCACGGCTTTGCACAACTGCTGAATAGGACAGATCAGGTTCTGGAGGTGGGGAATATCAATATGGACCAGAAAGAGCCACACCAGGTTGACCTGGTGATATTCTACGTGGAAATGTAGATGTCAAAACAGCCAGCGAACAAGCTATAGGTCACAGGTGTGAGGAAAAGCACACTCACCTGTGCAGGTGGAGGCTGTTGCACAAATCCCTGTGGTGAGGGAGGGGCCTGGAGGACTTGCTGGGAGATGGGAGGTCCAGAGCCTGAGAACCCCCCCGTAGGGAGCTGCTGGCCTGTAGAGGCAATGACGTAGCTTGGCTGTTGGGTTGGCTGTGCCATGAGGGACGGCGGGTAGACAGGACCAGATGGGGGCTCAGGAGTCTCTCCTGAGGATTGCCGGCTCAGGTTCATCTGGGTGAACTGTGTCGCCACATCATCTCTCTGCCCAGAAACAAAGAGGAAATTAGCAAGAGCAGCCTAGTAATGGGAGAGGCACACAGAGGCAGGCAGAGGCCACACTCTTGTCACTGTGGGCAAGGGAGGGCGTACCAATTGGAAACAATAACTGAAAGGAATTCTCTGTCCAGAACAACAAGAGAACATAATAAGATTTTAATCATCCGGAGGATCAGAGATGGTAAACAATTTGACCAAATCTCCCTCTTCCAATGGAAACAAATCATTATTTTTTCACCAAGGGTTTTAGATCCTCGGGATGGTGCTGAGACAAGGAGGGCTTGGTGTCCTTGGTCCTGAAAGGTCAGCGGGGCTTCCCAGAAGTAACCACAGTCTCTGCCTTCTGGAGAGAGGCAGAAGTGGTTGTATTCACCATCACCCACAGCTGCTACAGAGATGGAGCCACCATGGTGTCATGATATATTGGGGAGTATTTTTTACTGGCCTGGCCTGAAATTTCGGGGCAATGCTCCTTCTCGATGTCCAAAAGGACCTAGTTCATTGTGGGGAAAGGAAGGGAGAGTGGGGGATCAGGGAGCTAGGGGAACCCCCCACATTAGTAGCACAGAGTGATGACCACCTCAACTAACTTTAAGCTGTTTCCCAAGCCGTCACGCTGAGTTCACATCTCTCTGTTTCTGACTTCGAACTCTCGGGGCATTCAATCCCTGCTTAGCCAGTAAATTCTTAAAAGGGTACCCAATTGCAGAATCAGCAAGCGTGGGACAGATGACAGAATGGCAACCATTATTTTGGAGATGGGGTGCAATGTTCTGGAATGAGACCCCAACTCATGCCCCCTCACAGTCAGCCCAGGGCACCCACCCAGCATCAGCCAGCCCTGCACAGGAAAGTAATAAAACTGGTGGACATGCTCTCCCAGGGGAAAGGTTGCACACATGGAATACGGTACCATGGGGAACTGTTGAGTTGGAGACACAGTCAGGAGATGCTGGGGAGGAAAAGAGACCGCTGGGTATTGCACTGACTGGGAGGAAGCCTGCAGCCCCTGCACCGACTGGAGGAAAGAAAAAGCTGATCAGGTAACTGGGAGGCACTGGGGGGCGGAAATCCCACAGGAAGTTTGGCTTATCGGAAGCACACCACCTACACCACCCTACAGGTCCTCTTGGCTCAGTGCACTCCAGAGAGGGGAACCAGCCACCAACGGGAAGTCAATGCCAGGCAGAGCACAGCCAGCCAGCCTTGCAGGAGGCATGTTTGCTCAGAGTGAACACTGCCTTCAGAAGTCACTGCGATACTTTTCATGTCATTGTTGTTAGTCAAATCCACTGGGTCTAAAGATACTGCACAGGGACTGAGAAGTAAGGGAAAAAATTACAAATGAGGTTCACTCTGGCAACCTCCTGGGAACACTACAGATTTCTGTGGCTATTTCCAAGTGTTGCTCTAGGAAGGGAGGACCACTCTACATCTCTTGAAGAACAGGCAGGCCACCTCAGAATGGACTGATATCTGTTCTTCCAATTGATGAAGCATTCAGTACTATCCCTTTGCAGACATGAGTCCTTGGTCTGTGTTGGGAATGAGTGAGCAGGATGATATGAAAGCTTGGTTGAGGTTATGGGTTCAGTCTCCCAGTCAGGCTCCGTGATGCCTTAGAAGTAGCGTCTAGACCTCAGAGAAAACTTGGCATTCGTTTTCCCTAGCGCAGTGTGCTCACCATGCAAATCATTGGATGGGGCATTCACGTCTATCTAAACTTGAGCATCCAGATGAAATCTTATCAACCTGCTATCAAGGGCTCTAGGCTGCCAGGTCTTACATATGAGTGGGTGGAAGTGGCCCCACTGAAAAGTATCACCTCCTCCTAAGGCACCAGTCGCTGCTCTGAGGACTCTGCAGCCTTTGCCTGGGAACACCTCCCCTCCCCGCCTTCCCACCAGCTTCTACCTGAGTGACCAGCGGACCGGCCATATGTGGCTGGGGTGGCTGAGGAGAAGGCTGTTGCTGCGGCGGCGGCTGGGACTGCGCCATCATCGAGCCTCGCAGGGGCTGCTGGCTGGTGGGGGGGTTGTATATTGCAGGGGTTCCGTCAGGATTCACAAAGGGCTGGCCTGCAATGGAATCGGAGCTGGGTTCAGGTGAGCTCCTCAGTCTCGCCTTTAGCAGGAAGAACCATACTGATAGATATGCAACAAGTAACCCAAGGTAAAGGGGCAGGGAGGTGGAAATCTAGGACAGCAGAACCTTCACCACCATGAAGACTTTCCTGTTTATGACCGATCTGCTTAAGCTAGCTAACGGTGCAAGCCCAGAGCAATTTAAGAAGCAACGAATAAATCCACTGCCTTCAGGGAGATTTGCTAAAGCTAAGCGCATCTGTGCACAGTGGCGCCCAGTGGAGAAGGCCTGTGGAGAAGTAATCTTCACAAAACCGTGTGTTTGCCGCCTGCACCTCGCCATTATCAGCAAGATCGCACACACTGAGAGATAGGGCTGCCTTCTCTTTACAGAAGTCCGGCTACCCTGGCTTACACATTATTTACCAATACATTTGTTTTTCTTCCACTCGGCTTGTTGCCAACTCAGAATGGCGATCAGTGCTCCCGATACATACACAACAGAACATACCACATCCACACACTCGCTTCTCTAAACAGACACAACAAGGAGCACGCAGGGGTTCAGATTTTGAAGATGATGCATAATACAAGCATCACAGCATCATCTCCTGATGGTGAAGCAAATATACATTGTTTTGCCTTTTGAAATGATGGCATGGCTCGCTATTGTTATTACTATTATTTGAGGAATATTTTATGGTTTACAAAATAGTATGATTGGATCCCCAGCATGACTCTGGGAGGAAGGACAGTATCATCTCCCTATGTTGCACAGGATGCAATGAAGGCCCACCAGAAAAGTCACAGGAAAAAGGAAGGAGCCAAAGGAGCGGCAGATGGAAGCGAGGGAAAGAGGAGGGGAAGAAAGGGAGAACCAATCAAGTTCCAGTGTGGCAGGCACCTTACACACATAGCTCAGCTCTTCCAGTGACCCCACAGACATGCGATCTCATTCCACTTTAGAGACAAAAAAATCAGTGCCCGCATGGACCAAGCAACTCACTCAGAAAGGCCAAACCAGTACGCGAGAGTCAGGAAATGGCCCTGGTCAGAGTGACTCCAAAGTCCATTCACTTCCCATCACACCAAGTAACTTCAGTGGAGTATCCAAGTTTACATAACGTGTACGTGCTACAACAAGGTCTGATGACAAAAGTCCCATCATAACTGAAAATCATTAACACGCGAGAAGTCAGGAGGGGTGGGGGACATGTTTTAAGGTGGAATCACAGCCAGGGCTGGCAGGTAAAGAAAGAGAAGAATCAGAATATTCTGATTTGCATTAAGGGGATATCAGAGGCAGCTTGCTAAGTTCCTCCCAAGCACATAACTGAAAGCCTCCCCTCACAGAGTTCCGGTATAATGGGGTTCACGAGAGCATGTGATGGCTGAGGAAAACAGCCCTTTTCATTAATAATATATATGAAAAACAACCAAAGATCACCAGTGATGTGCGGAAAATTAGCAACAAAACACAACAGATTAGAATGAAGATAAAAAAAACTGACCCAAACGAAACAGTATTCTACTGGGGAGAAAAAAAAAATGTGTGGTATCCAACAAGAACAGACTGTTATAAAATGGGAGATAATTAGCCAATATACACCAAGTGAAAGAAACCAGTCCCCAAAGGGCAGCCATTAGGGAAACGTGCAACTGCATTTCTAATACCGTCAAGGTCAGGCAGAACTTAATGGTAATGGAAGTCAGAAAAGTGGGACCTCTCAGGGGGCAGGAGGGAGCCTCCTGGGAGACTAGTCATGTCCTGTGTCTCCTTCCAGAGAGTGTTCACACAGGGGTTCATACATTCAAATACCTGCCAAGGCTACAGGCCAAGTATGTGTGTTTGACAAATTACAGTGAGAAAATATTTTAGAGTAGGTTTGGAATGCAAACAGTGGAGTTGTAGTGAAGCCAAACCAATTGCTCCCAGGACTTGATTAGGAACTGTAATGGGACCCTAGTGTACCCATCATTACCCCACATTTTCAGCCCAAATATACTTGTGTGTGTGCAACGTGAAACCCTTAAATGCTGCATATTCATGAACTAAGGAAGTTCTGACAACAGTTTCATAACCAATCACAATGTGCTGTGATGGAAAAGCAAATGTGCCAGAATTATAGTCACAGAACAATGACTAAATTTAGAGGTATTAAAAAAAAATGTTAATGTTCTTCATAGGCACTTGTTTTCCTATCACTGTCATTTAATTTTAGATACATTTAATTGTTTTAAATGCTTTTTTTTTCAAAAATAACTTTCTTCTGGATTTAAAATCTGCAACCCATTTTTTTCTCCCCAAAGATGGAAAGTAAAAATAAAATGATCTTTACTATATTTCCTATGACTTCCAATTTACCCCAGTGAGAAGTAAGGTAGCGTAAAAAACGGACCATAATTAGGGTGAAAAACATAGCCACAAATTATTCAAATGTCCTTTTTGATAAATTTTAGATGCTCTGTGTGAAATATTATTAACGTGCTATGAAGCAGGCAAAAGAAACGTTTCCATATAATTGCATATGAAAAGTACTCAGAACTCCCTTATGTAGAGAGAGGTGGCAGGTTCTTCTGGAAGAGAAGAGAGAGAATAGAAGACTGCTTTTATGCTCACTAAGGAGGGGTGGAAAGACATGAGAGACTGAAACAAGTAAGATGGATATGCCAGGGAAGGGAACAGACATGATTACATGATTTCCTAAGAGAGTTAGGACAGGCGACTATTGGTTTTCAAGTCAAATGCTGGCCTCTCTAGATGCTGCCATTTCTGCCAGTCCAGATGCAATTACAACTGGATACGGGCAATTAGTTTGAATGACAGCTGCTGAAGACTGAAGGGGAAGGAAAGACAGTTGGCCTAGGACCATCCAGCTTAAAAGAGGTTTTCGTGTCCAGAACTGCACGAGCATGCCCGGCAGGCCCTGGCATGTGTGCTGGCACAGGTAAAGGGTGCAGGAAAGCCGGGCTGCCACGAGCTGGCCGAGTGCTCATTCCCCTCAATACATGGCTTTAGGTGGAAAACCTCTCCACTCTCCACATCAACATGAATAATGTGCAGTAGATATTATTTTTTTAAAGATTTTATTTATTTATTTTAGAGAGAACGAGTGGCAGGGAGGAGCAGAGGGAGAGGGAGAGTCTTAAGCAGACTCCCTTCTGAGGGCAGAGCCCGACGTGGGGCTTGATCTTAGGACCCTGAGATCACAACCTGAGTGAAAACCAAGAGTTGGATACTAAGCACCTGCGCCACCCAGGCATTCTGTGCAGTAGATATAATTTTACTATTATATAATTATTGAGCCTTGCATGAAGATTAAGACTTGGTTATCCATTCCAGAGATGCAAAACAAAAACAAAAACAAAAAACCTGAGTCTGATCCCTCCCCACAAAGCGCTTGTAAATACGCTGGTAATGAGGAAATGAACCCAAGGGCAATTCACACTAGAAACAAAGTAATCAAATGCTCTTGGTTTCTAACACCAAAGCATTTTTGCCATGTATTTGGCAGAAGGGTATTTATTAAAAAAGATAGAGAGGGCATGAGAAAAAGAGATTTTTCCTTTCCTAGTCCTTAGAAGGTGATCAATCAAATCATAAGGATGCTGCTGATAATGGATAGACAAAGGTTAATTCAGATCTCGCAAAGATACGTTGAGGGCCATGTCACACACAAAATCTTCATGGTACATTTAAGAAAGAGGTGGAAAAAAATAAGAAAGAAGTAGAATAGATGCCAGAAGGCCTGTGAAAAATACAAAGTGTAGTGTTAGGAGGATCCATCAGGAGCATTTCAAAGAGATGAGCCCTAAAAGGCTGCTCAAAGCAAAGTCCGAGCTGATGGCATGCCCTCACATCACTCACTCGTGAATTTGTGCCAGATGAAGGCAAAGCGAAATGGCAAAACAAGAGATATGGGGATTAATGAGTACTTGGGGGATGTTAATGCCTATTGGCATCTCTGGATAGCTCTAAATTGAAAGAAAATAGCCAAACAAAGATGAGCTTTCTGCTAAAAATTTCTAAAAGGAGGCCAAGTCCAAGACAGCAGGAAGAAGATCAAACTCAAGAGTCAAACCCAGGTTTGCCTTGTGAGGATGAATACATTATACGGGGATAACTTTGAAAAAGAGCCTCTGCAGCAGCTCACTCATCTAGATGCCTGAAAAGCAAAGAAAGGATAGGCCAGAGGTCTTCAGTTAGAAACAGGCTGGCTGAGAGCAGAGTCTAAGGCCAGACAAAATAAAATGTGATTGCATTTGGGGAACTGCGAGAATATATGTGGGTGGGTTGGTTTCAGGTTGCCAAATATTTGGTACTTAGGAAGAGGCAAGTCAATTGTGCCCACAAAGGAAGTTTCATTTGGTAGACATGACTGGCAGGCACCTTGGTATTCTCAAATTATTGCTTGTCTTCTGTCTGCTTAAGATAGATACTTTATGAATAAACAGACAAAAAGCAGAATCAGACCTATAAATACAGAAAACAAACCGGTGATTGCCAAAGGAGGGGGGATGAAGGGATGGGCAAAATGGGGGAAGCAGAATGGGAGGTACAGGCTTGCAGCTATGGAATGAGTAAGTCATAGGAATAAAATACACAGCATAGGGAATCTAATCATTGATACTGTAATCGTACTGTATGGTGACAGATAGGAGCTACACTGTGGTGAGCCCAGCATAACAGGCAGAGAAGTTTAATCACTATGTTGCATACCTGAAACTAATATAACACTGTGCACCAACTATACTGAAATAAGAAAAAAAATTAAAAGATAGGTATTTTATCATAGTTTCATACATGAACCACATTCTCAAATATATTAGATAAAAAAACTGTTCTACTATGCACACCAACATATAATGAGTAGTAGATATTTCAATACTATGTAATTTTTGAGCACAGTGCCTAAGACTACTTTGTTATCCACTCTAGTAAAGTAAAAAAATAGCCAAGAATGGCCCCTTCCCACAAGGAGCTTATAAATGAGCTGGTAACAAGGAAATGAATCCCAAGGGCTATTCACACAAGAAGTAAACTAGTCATATGCCGTTGGTTCCTAACCCCAAAGAATTTCTACCGCACATTTAAGGAAGGGGAGAGGTGTGGATTTCAGGAGCTCAAAACAATGACAGAGAAAGATGAGTTCCAATCCAAAGGAAGCAAATTTCCAGTTTCAATAGTAGAATCACAGGAGATTAAATAAATAGATGGATGGATAGACAGACAGAGAGACATGCACACATACACACCATAGACACATACACACACACACACACATATATATATATATGAATACATGATGGATCTGTACACACACACACACATACATATTTTCAATTTACAAAAATAAACACATTCTAGGAAAGAAGAAACATCATTCCCCTTCGATCCTACCACTCAACCTATGGTATACAATATATTAATACATTTTCCTTCTGGTCTTGGGATATTTTAATGTCAAGCATTTGTCAGATCAGAGAGGTGCATACAGAGAAGCTACTCGACAGTGTGATTAGATCCTTTTCCTCAGTTAGGATCCTTTTTCAAAGGAGATATTTTGGTAACAGCTCTAAATGACTGGATCTGATGCGTAAGAAATTGGGACTTGACACCAAAAATCACTTTCTTTCTTTTTCTATAAGCAAGATTATACATGATAATATACACATAACACATGCACAACCATTATATCATTACAAATAATATTTCTTCATTATACCCTAGAAAATACTCTGTTGAGCTTTTTTGAAACACGGCAATTTTGCTTAAAACAAATGACTCAAAACTAATGCCTGTGTGTGCTCTTGTCAGCAAGCCCTCCGTCTCAATTAGAAGTGAAGGGATTTAAGCCAACAGAGTCAGACCATACTTCGATCAGTGCCCAGAGTAATGAGTATAATCCTGGTTTTCTTTTAATTTCCTTTTAGTGCTTCCAATGATCCAAATAAAATAAAAGCAATCTAATATTCTCCTTAGAAGTATCTCTTCTGAAAGCTTTCAAATGGTTTTCAATAAAATGATTATGTCTTCTTTTCCCTCAAGCTTATGGCATTTTCAAAATGTCTCCATCAAACACCCTGCCTTGAGAATGTGCCATATGTTTTCATGAAAATGTGGCAATTATTCAAGTAACTATTTTACTATCATTCTCAAGTTTCTCTGAATTTCCTAATTACTAGTAGTGCTATATACGTGAAAAGATTGAGTCAGATTGCTTTTATGAGATTCTCATTCACTTTTGCTTTTTCAAGTTTAGCTAATCACAAAAATACTCTGGAATCATTGAAACCAAACCTCAGACATTTTTTGAGACAATTCAATTTTTTTTCCAATTACTTATAAAGACTTCCAAAGAGGCAACTAGTCAATGTCAAGCCTTCTAACCCAGGGTTTCCCAGCCATGGCACTACTGATATTTTGGGCTGGGTAATTCTGTGTTGGAAGGGGCTGTCCTGTGCATTGTAGGATGTTTAGCAGCATGTCTGGCCTCTACCTTCTTAGATGCCAGTAGCAGCCCCTTCCTCTCTCAGTCATGATAATCAAAATGTCGGTGGATATTGCAAAATGGCCTTGGAGGCATGGGCACAATTCCCCCTGGTTGAGAAGTTTCCCCTATGAGGCAGATGCTTGTCAGTCTATTTGCCCAATGCTCTGGGTTCTTTGGAATCAGTGTGGAAGTTAACTGACCACTAGAGAAATTAAAAAATAAAGAACCATTGATCATGGAAAAAATAATCATCATTGAAGTTACCAATTTTCCAAACCTCACCAAAACCAGTCTAGTCCTAGGATCCCTAAAATACGTAAGAATTTGTTCCCTATGTCCTATTTGTCACTGCTATTCCTTATTCCCCAGGTGGAATTGGGTGAAATTCTAAGGCAAAAGAGCAACTTCTATAGGTAAGAATCTTTTTTTTTTTTTTAAGATTTTATTTATTTATTTGATAGCAAGAGACACAGTGAGAGAGGGAACACAAGCAGGGGGAGTGGGAGAGGGAGAAGCAGGCTTCCCGCAGAGCAGGGAGCCTGATGCGGGATTTGATCCCAGAACCCTGGGATCATGACCTGAGTCGAAGGCAGACGCTTAACGACTGAGCCACCCAGGTGCCCCTCTAGGTAAGAATCTGCTATGTGTCCCAATTGATATCTCAAGTTTGTGAAATATCTTGGATGCAAAAACACTTTTGACATAATAAGAGGCTAAGCCGGGATTTAGTCTACAAAACACAGTATCTTAATTAGTATTTCCCAGATCATCACTTTACGGTCTCTGGTCTTAGCTCCCAGGAATACCTGAGACACACCATGGTCAACACAAAGAGGACAGAGGAAAAAGTGGATATTTCTGGGAAGAATCTGTATTTATCACTACATATCAATATTGGTATCAACATAGAGATAGCGATTACAGCTATAGATCTTCTCTTCCTAAATCAAGACCCTACACAATGGTTCATGCACTTAGCTCTCCTGCTCAGGAATTTTAAGAAAACTTGCTGATGAATTTATAAGCTCAAACACAAGAACAGAACTCTGATCTTGAGTCCCTGCCATAGCAGAGGTAAGGAACTAACCTGTGTGCGGATTGAGAAGGATGCTTCCGGGCGGGATGCCTGTCGCAGCCTCCAGTGGAAGGAGGATGTAGCTGGTGCTGGGGGCTGCCTGGCCCCCTGCTCCGCCCTCTGGATAGGGCACACAGCCCGGAGAGCCAGCGGCCACGCCCGCAGCCAGGGGCATGCCCTGCAGGGGTGCGTGGGTGCGGGACAGAGACCCCGAGGAGCCTGTGCTGCTGTTAGACTCAGAACCTGCCACAGAAGAAAAGGATCAGAAAATCATCCAACACAGAGAGCTCTGGATCTAAATGCCTAGTTTACATAATCCATCCTTAAACCATGCGAGGTGAGTGCTGCAGGACCAGAGCAACATTTGGGGCTCACATTTTATTGAGATATCTGCTACATATTTTTCAGATGTGTCGATTTCCTGGGACAAGAGAGGTTAAGAATGAGCACTCTCTTTCAGCCTCTCACATGCCCGTAGGGTGGTACCTTGGTAAATGGTACCCTAAAGCTTCGGACTCCATGTCTGGAGATGCCCATCACCCTGAGTAATTAAAGCCAGAGGGCTGTCTTACTGGAGGTAGGAGAATAAAATGCCAGGTGGATATTAAAGAGACTGCAGTTTAAGAAGGAGTCCTAGAATGTGCTGATCATGGCATGGCTCTAAGGTACTGGTTCTCCAACATCCATAAAGCTGCATTTTGAAGAGGCATGGCCAGAAATAATCTTTTCCCCTCAGAGGTGAGTAGAAGAACTGGGTCACTCCTACTGAGAGTGCTTAAGGCGCGTATTTCACTAGTCACAGAAATCTTACTAATATGCCCAAGAGGCAGACCAAGAAGGGCTTGGCCTTCATAGAATGCTGGATCATCCTTTAGACGACACAGAAGAGTAAAATAATGGGGAGGATTGTGGACTGTGTATTTTGCAAACATGTAGGTAACTGGATTACAAGGTGGACTCTAATCCAACCATCTCCCTCTCCCTCCACTGTGGACAAGCAAACACCTGGTATCTCCCACGTCCATTAGGCATTACCTGCCCTTCACCATGACCAGAGTCAAGGAGCTCTGGCACCTTTGACCACAGCTGTTCTGGGCACTGAATATTAACCAGAGCATTGAAGAGAAAATGCACCAAGCCCCATTTCTATATCAGTGAATTCTAACTAACAGATGATTTGGATAATATCGTATAGTACAAGAAACTTTTAAAATTATTTATTAGCTCACAACTATCGATTTATGTCATTAAAAATGCATTCCTCTGTGTCATTAAAGGGAAACCATATATAAGGAAGAGTTAACATTGTTTTCAAGATTCTAAAATGTGCCCTTGAATTAAACTGGAGACCTTTAAAAATGAGTGATAGGAATACAGCATGTAATTGCAGAGAAGAGGGGCCATTGGAGAGAATTTAGAGGAGGACATAGTTTTTTTTTTTTTTTTAAAGATTTTATTTATTTATTCATGAGTGACAGAGGGGGAGAGAGAGAGAGAGAGAGAGAGAAGCAGGCTCCCAAGAGCCCGATGTGGGACTCGATCCCAGGACCCCGGGATCATGACCTGAGCCGAAGGCAGACGCTTAACCATCTGAGCCACCCAGGCGCCTGAGGAGGACATAGTTTTTGAGAAGGAAGACAGTGATATTTATTGAGCGCTTAGTATGTGTGAGCACCTGGACACACTGTACTAATAAGTACTATTACTGGCTATACAGATAGGGAAGTTGAAGGATAGAGAAGTTCGATAACTAAAGCCAACTCATACAGCTAGTGACAGAGTGGGATGTGAGCTAGGCAGACTGATCTAGGTTTAACTGTGACCCAACACTGCTTCCTGAGAGCAAGCATATACGTATGCCATGGAATGCCACCAGTGTTCTCAGTTGGGAACCTTCTCTTCTTCTCCCATGTCTTGATTATTAATAATGATAAAGGTATAAGTTAATTCAGGATGCACCATCTAACAAGTTTAGAATGCTGATGGGTCCTGAGTAATGTATGGGGGAAAAATAAAGAATCTAAAAGGAGATCTGAAAATGCTAAGAGTCGTTTTGAGAGTGCATCCTGGCATGATGTCCCCAAGGTTGCAACCCTAGGGCAAACTGCAGGGTGTGTTTGTGAACTTGCCCCATGTGATTTGATGCTACAGTCCAAGTTTGACACTAGTGCAGAAAGAACAACAGCAAGAGCAATAAACAATAACAAAACCTACTGCCTCCAAACGCTGAAGTTCATACAAAATAGGTTCAGCCCACCTCCAGGCTGAGGGGTCAGACAGCAGGAAAGGGTTGGGACTAAGGCGGCATGTCCTGAGTAATCTGAGGTGTCAGCTGGTGCTGGCAAGGGGAGGGGGGGTTAGGAGAGGGTATGGATGCACACAGCTGATGCGCCACAAGAAAATCCACAGTGTTTTCCTTTTTGGCTTTCAGAAGTTGGCTATTAATCACTGATGTGCAATATCATGTCCTTCTATGAACAGGAGAAAAGCAGCACCTTCAACAAGAACAATGAGAATGCGGTGCAAAGACAATGTAAAAAATCTGTTTCCACAGGTTAAAAGGATAGAAAGGAGACGGATTTAGCTTAAACTCTCAACACTTGCAAAGATGGAGACAGTGAACCCTCTTTGGGGGGATAGCTCAGCAACCACCATGAAGCCAAGGTTAGTAACTGGCCTTTTTGGCTGGCTTACAACCAGCTTTGAACAGCCTGTAAACATCAGTCTATGCTGTGCATACAGCCAGTGTTACTGAAGTTCTTGATCAAAAATGGACGCTAGCGATGGTGATAAAAGGCACAGGATTAGAAGTGTTCAAAAAAAAAAAAAACGAAATTGATATTTGAGAACTTTACTGCTTTGGGTGCTGAGAGTTAAAGTGTGTCCAGTCTCCTTTTCTCAGGGACTTGAATATTAACAATGGCAAATATTTAAACAGTATGTCTATGTGACAAGCACTGTGCTAATCACTATGTGAATTACCTAGTTTCATTTTCACAGCAACCTCATTTTGAAAATGAGAACTAATCCTCAGAGATGTTAAGTAAATTTCCCAAGCATACTTCATGTGTGGCAGAGCCTGCATGCAAACCCAGGCAACAGGACCACGTGGGCCACGCCTTACTCCAGAGTGACATGTAGGTAGGGCTGGGGCCCTGACCAGGACTGTGCCAAGTTCTAGGAGATACAGCATAGGAAGTCAATGCTGCCCCAAATCAGATGCTTAGGAGTGGAATCTGGACCCTGAGGGGCAGCTGGTGGAAGGTGTAGGGACAAGACTTCAGGGTGACCGATGGGGGACTCTGGTGAACACCCAAGAGAGAGACAGGAAAAAGGAAAAGGGGAAAATGGGGGGGAAAGGTTGTGTAAAAGATTGTAAGGCAAAACAAAATGGAAAACTGGGCAGAGAGGAGGGGTGTGGGCAGATTTCCTTGGAATAAGGGAGCTCCCCACTCCCCAGGAAGGAAGCATTCTGAGTTTTAGTTCTTGTTCTGCCACTGACTAGCTGTGTTTTCTTCAGTAAGTGATTACTTCTTTTTTTTTAGATTGATTTATTTATTTGAGAGAGAGAGAGAAAGATTGTGGAGGAGAGAAGCAGAGGGAGAGAGAAACTCAAGCAGACTGTGCTGAGCCCAGAGCCTGACGTGGGGCTTGATCCCATGACCCTGAGATCACTACCTGAATGAAACCAAGAGTCGGATGCTTAACTGACTGCATTACCCAGGCACCCCTAAACTGACTCCTTCTTTAGACCTTAGTATCCTCTTTTGTAAAATATAAGTCACCAGACTAAATTGTGAGTAGCTATCAGGATGATGGCCTTAAAAGTTTTTCTCAGCTTGACCAAACTTTAGATGGGTTTCTTCCAGAGGAGCTTCCCTCTACCTCCTTTTTCTTAGAGCATTTCTGCCCCTTTATGGTATAAATCTTCCACTAGCCTCTTAACCCAGGTATATCTTTCTTGAAGATTCAGGAACCATCTCTTTGAAATGTAACAATCAAGAGAACTAGTGCCCTTGTCTGCCAGTTTCTGTGGGAGGGTAGAAAGAAGACTGACTTTGATAAGCACCAATCAGCGAAGATGACTTAGTTGAATTCACCAACCACCTGTCCACCTTTCTCCAGTGCTTTTCCAGTGATTCACTACAGTGCTTCAAACTCCCCTGTAAGTTGTTAGTGCAAGGTTCAGTTCAGTCTTTCACCCCTATTGCAATAGTCTTGACCCTTATTGCCATAGTTATGAATAGAACCTTCCTTGTCTGTTTATCTTGTCTGATGCAATTCTTCCTTTATAAAGACCCGGAACCATAAGTATTTTTCCCTGAATTAATAATTCAAGAAAATATTTCCAGATTCAGGGTCAGAAAATTCAATATAATGAGCTAAAGCTTCTGAAATTACAAGGAGAAAGAGAACATCCAGGATGCGTTAGCACTGTAATGAAAATAAACACAAAGAAGAGGAAGTGGTAGAGAGATGAGGTGTCTTGCATTGGCTCCAAAAATACTCTGGAATGTAGACAAGAAGGTGACAACAACAAGAATATGCTTGGATCCCAAAAACAAAATACCATGCCATGTAAAATTACTAAAACAAAACATAAGGATATCTTATTTCTCCAGAGCATTTGTTCTCAAAGCATGGTTTGAAAACAAGCAATCTTTGCTTTTACAAATCCTTCAGGTGATTCTGACACACCTACAGTTGAGAACCCCTGCTCTGGAGATCGAGAGAGGACGATAGTAAAGCAGTGTCCTTTGACCAGGGTGGAAAGGGAGAGATGTCATGCTCATTTCCCAACCTCATAGCTGCAACCAAGAAGCAGCGGAGGTTATGGTACAAGCACCGTTCCTGTCCTCTCCACGAGGAGGATGTTGTGACAAAATGATATCATCTACCCCTGGAGCCGTGTGCTGGACATCTGGTAGGTGACCGTCACTAAGCTCGGTGTCAGGGATACGTTAAGGGAAAGACAGCCCAGGCCTTCAGAGCATGAGCTTCTGCATTCAGACTTCAGCAATAAGCTCCTTCCAAAATGTAGGAAAGCATGTCCCCACCTGGAGAAAGTCTCATCATTATCTATTTAAAGCTCAAAGCTATGTAATTAGAGGAGGAGAAGAGTAACTTAAATGTCACAACTCCAGGCTTGGTTTCTGAAAGGTCAGAAAAAGAGTTTGCAATTCCACTGAGAATAATGAGGCAAAAAATTGAAAACTTGTGCTGTTCTGAAGATCCATGACAGCAAAATTGACAGCTTTGCTTCATAAAACCATCTTGGGAAATTGTAAGCTTGTTTTGACATTCTATCTTGATCGCCTTTAATTTTTTTTTTCTTCTTCTTCTTTTTTTTTTTTTTGCTTTCCGTTCCTGCACCTTGACAAGCTTTCAAAAGGAGACACTTAGATTAAAAGGGAAAAAAATGTCTGAAGCACTTAAATTTCTAATCATTCTTCAAAGAACATGGCATTTTAGCATTCTTGTAGTGTTTTAAATGTTTCCAAAGAGCTTTTCTTTGGAAGTGATTGGGGGGTGGGTGTATGGAGAATGACGATTAATTTAAAAATCTTAAGAGCTCTTTTGGTGTGTTGGAATTTTTAAGTGCACCATTTAACGTCCTTGGTTTCTGCATTTTAAGGAGATTTAAAGCTATTTAACCTTTCTTAGTTTACAAGAGCTCAAGTGTACCACAGTGGATTTTCTTGACTTCAGTTGCTACAATAGTGGGATATAAGAGCAATTAATTAGAGTAAGACATCAAGAATACACCAATTGGTGATATGACAGAGGGCAGAAGGCAGTGTGAGCCCACCTGAATCTTTCCAAGGAGAAGGAAATATGTATATATATAGTAGTGGCTGTGACTAAATGCTATTAGTTTTCTGCCTGTGTAGGAAAACACGAGATAATTTCTTAGGAGCATTTTCAACAACATAATTATCTTAAACCATTAGCATAATAAGCCTAGATTTCACAAAGAGTGCCCCCTAGCGTGAGTGTGAAGCCTGAATAGGAAAGTATTCTCAAATTAGGACAACCCATGTCTAATCTCTGGTCAGTGCTGGCCATTCACCATCCCCGTCCCTTCCCTACAACCCCAGGTCTGTGAATGCACCCCCAGTGTATCCAACACCCAGGGTGTGTCACTGAATCACAGCTCTCAACCCCCACCCTAGCTCCGAACTTCTGAGGCAAAACCCAAACCAAACAGAAACATTACAAATTATCACCACACACTGAATTCATGGAGAACTACTGAAGGGTCATCTGTTACCTTCCTGGGATTCTAAGAGATACTTTGATTGAGAACATTTGAAAATAATTTGAAAACAATGGTGAGGGATTTTGGAGACGGAGGAGCTAGAGATGGCAGACCATGATGGGGATTTTTTGGACCCATATGAACCCCCTTTAATGGTATTAAAGCTTCCATCAGTTTAAAGTTGTTTCCAGGTCATGGTTCTCATTAGTGCTCACCTCCCAAAGACTGTCCATGCAAACTTGAACTACCTACCTCAAGAGATCACTATTCACTTAGAAGAAAACACAAGGTTAAAAAAAGAGATACCTGCACCTGGCTACTTGGAACTCTAAGCCTTTCTGAGGCTCACTTTCCCTGTGGCTGTAATAAAAATAAACATGAACTCGTGTTTATTGAGGGCTTATAACCAGCCAGGTATTATTCTAATTGCTTTGTGTATATTAACTCTTTTAGTCTTGAAATAACCTTGCAATATAGGTCCCTATATTATTATTAGGTCCCTATTGTATAATTAGGTCCCTAATTATACAATTATTCCCATTTCTCAGATGAGGAAACCAAGACACAAATAGGTTAAATAACTTGCCCACAGTCAGACTAACAGCATGCCAAAGCAGCAGCCAAAACTATTAATATTATAATTACCTTACAGTGTGGTTTTAAGAAACTGATCATAGTATTAAATTAAAAACAATAGCTAGCTTTTGTTAAATAGTTACCTTGTGCAGGTGCCTTGGTAACCATTTGTATATAAATAATTGAAATTTAACATACAATGGTTTGCTGGGGTGGTGGTGGGGGTAACATCATATTCTATTATAACCTACATTTCATAGTATGAAAGTTGATATGACATGGGGCGCTTATGTCAAGAGGTTTTCAAATGGAGTCAGGAGGCCATTAAGGAGATGGGCGTTTGACACGTCCTCACCTGTAGAACCATGAACTTTTGAACCGGGCCAAACTGCAAAAATACCAAGGACTCAGCCCAAACACCTACAACATGCTACAGTAAGAGGCGGCTTAGGGATAACCTTTGAAACCAATTATATTCAATCAAAATCAGAGTTGTGCCGCCAACACCAATCAAAAATTCTTTGTAAACAACATATACAAGCATTCCCTTCTTGCTTTTAAAACCCCTGATTTTGCTCCCAAGTGGGACACCATTTAGGTTGTTACCCATATCTGTGTACCCTGAATTGCAATGCTTTGATCCCAAATAAATGCTCTTGCTCAATTATTGCCTCCTGACAATTTTAGGTTGACAACAGATAAGGAAACCGAAGATTAGAGAGGTTGGTAATTTGACCTAGGCACACAGCTAGGAAGAGACAGGGTTGGTATTTTCATTGCACCTTCTGACTTCCCAGGTATCCCAGCAATTAATATCATCATCATTAATTAACTGGAAGCCAGAGGGGATAATGACTGTATGGGTTGGGTGGAATCTAGGCAATACATCAGGACATAAACCCATTCAGTACTAACTACCTGCTTTGGACAATTTCCCGGTACTCCTGGTACTGGATGTGCTGTCACCCCTGGTCAGCACCGTGATGCCCCCAAAACTTGCCGTCTTGGTCATGGTAGGCTTGAGATTGCGGTTGGAACTGTCAGAGTCTGTGCTGCTCCAGGCCCTCTGGTGGTCCGACCACTTGAGCTCATTCTCCGAGCTGCTCTGTCGACTCCCGGATGTTCTCCCTGAGCCATCTCTGTTGCCCCTGGAGCACAGCCATTGGAAAGATGTACAGGGACAGTGTTACATTTCACGAGAGGTATGGATCTAGAGGGGGACCTTTCTTGGAAGAGCCGTTCACACAAGACCCTTCTTGCAACCCTTTCCATTAAGCCCGTTGCCTCACAAACTGTACCACAGATAGCTCGTTGATGGGCAGACAGATAACATACCACACTTAATGTCATGTTTACAAACAGAAAAACCAAATCTAGAAATGTCAAACCATCCCTCTGCCAGTGAAGGAGAAACAAGTAGAAAAAACTTGGTATAAAATATAGTTGTTAACTTCTCTTATGGAGAGGAGAGGAGGATAAATTCTCCTGACCCAAGTAAAAAATGAATCAAGGTTTGGGACCAATGATGATCTTGAATGATTCTGAAAGCAACTCCCACTGAAGACAAGTTTGTCTGTCCCTTTAGTGTTAAATAATGGACGGTGAGAAAATGCACACAGAGGCAGTGAAGCCATTTATTATTTTCTAATTTGATGAGATGTCTATCTGAATTCATTAAGGCTTTGGCAGTCAGCACAGAAATCACGGAAATTACTCTGTTGACCTAGGGTGAGAGTTTTGCCCAATGAGTTTAACCTTCATGGGCAGAGGAAAGTGTCTTTTAATCCTTTTCACATAGAAAAACTTGTGATAATAACAACACCAGTATAAACACTACACTGACAGGAAACTTTCCAAGGGGATCAATGCAAATAACAAAGCTCCATAGGTGAAAGAACACATTGGTTCAAAATCCAAATTGAGAAAGAGTGAATGTACGGGAAGAGATCCAATAGGCAGACATGCTTTCTGAAGACTCCAGAATATCTCTAAGTAAAACACAAAATTACATGTGTTTTATAGAGAAAGTTGATGAAATTTGCATTTTCATTGGTTTCCAATCTACTTAAAGAGGAACTTAGTGAATATTTTCAAAGCTTTTCCTGCAGTTGGAAATAAGACATGATTAAAATACTCTAAGATCTTCATGGATTCTAAGTAAGTAAAGGGGGCATAAATCACTGGCAAGAGATACAACCCATAATTTCATTATCACTAAACAATGTGACATGCTCAAGTGTTGATCCAAATCTCACAGATGTGGTCATTAGTTTTGTTAATAGATAGTCTTCTAAAGACAAAAATAGACCACGGAGATGTGAGAAGTGTGTGCATCTGATCGAAACACTCACCAACAAAATTGTACAGAAGGTACACAGAAAATTTTCGCTTTTGTTTCAACTTTACCTAATAAAATTTCTTTTGTTTTATGAGAACTTAAGAAGGTAAATGGATCCAAGAGATAATAAAAATGAAATGGCTCATCTGTGATAGGAACTTTGTAAAATGAGGGGAGGACAGAAAACTCACAAAACAAAAAGCACTCAGTGCCCTGCTGTCCTGCATCAATGTTTTCTTATAGTCTCTCTGTTAGCACCTCAGGATGGCTGGGTTTGGAAGGAGGAACTAAAAAAAGACCAGATTGTGAGTAGAAAGTATCACACACTCACCAATGGTCAGATGGCTTGAGTTCTTAAAACTCCTTTGAAATTCAAGAAAGCCAGAGGAGGTGGGAGTAGAGGGAAAAAACCCAGCCTCTTCGAGGGTATGGTGTTCGATTCCTGATTGTTTTCCTTTCAAGTACCAAATTCACCTTTACTCTTTTCACATTTAATTCTGATTTATTTGACCCGTCTTTGACAAAGCTTGGCAAAATCATTATTTAGCCACTGTGAATGCCCCAGGGATGTGATAATAGTCTCACTTGGAGCTAATGGGGAATATTGCATACAGGAAAAGATTTGGGGTAGTCCTTAGCCTCAGCATACAAGATGCCTCAGAAGGAAGCTCTCCCTATGCAGGTGATCATCATGAACTCTGCTTGAGTTTCCCTCTCCCTATGCCCCCTGCACCTCCATGGGAGGAAATGCCACTGTGGCTGACCTGTCTACAAAGCAGTTTCCACCACTATTCCTGGGTGCAAACTAGTGTGCTGGAGTTTGCAGGCTTCACTCTGGTGATGGGTAACTCCTTTAGACTTGTGCCACACCCTTGGCCGATAAGGCAACCTAAGATTTCCTTGACTTCTTCTACCTCTACTCTCCACCAGTTCAAATCAGCCTCCCAAAGTCAAAAGCTCTCAAAATTCCCAAAAGAGAGAATTTAAGTTGCTGCTTTAGAGTTAGCATTAATGAGATTCATAATAATGCATCTAATTCTGATTTATGGATCTCTATTTATACACTGAAACAATATTTTATAGCTCTATCTACTGATTATTCACCTTAGCACTGGCAAAGTGAGGTCCAGAATTGAATTTCATATCTATTTGTGTGTAGAATCATAGACCTCATAGATGAACATAACCACAAGTGCCTTCCTATCCCTCCTAAGCCCAGTCTTGGTCCCTTCCTACCAGAAACCAAGAAGACAATGGTAATGAGGTGTCTGGTCATCAAGAGGAGTTGGTCCTTGTGCATGTAATGAGAATTCGATCCCAGAGTAGTCATAAAGCACATACTTGAAGTTCTGTTTCTGTGCTGATTAATATAACTAACAACATTTATTTTCCTTCATGTCTGTACATGGTATTTTTTTTTTTATCAAGTTAGATATGATGTACACTTTGAGTTGCTTTTACTATTGTGTGGATGTCTTTGTGCTAAGTCATCTTCCTGAGTCTCTGTGCTTCGTGACTCGGTGAGTGATGGCACTCATATTTGTAATGACTGATCTGAGTAGATGGTAACTCTGGCTAGGGACCAGATTTGGAGCTATGTGAAACCAATTGGCCTAGAGGGGCAAGGACCCACATTTCATATATTTATCGGCCTAAGCAGACCAGATCTGGTGTGAGTACAGGAGTACTGGTAAATTCTTCTTGTTCTTCTCTGGTTTTCAAAGGAACAATTCAGAGTTATCATTTTAATCTACAAGTGTGATAATAAATGGTCTATCAATAAAGGGGAAGGCATTAGACTATGTAGTTCAACCTAAAAAGTGAAGGACATTTTTTAAAAAATCTTTTTATTTCTGCCAAGTGTAAAGGGAACAAATTAATCCAACTTTTCTAATGATGAGGTCCTAAATTCACATTTACTACAAAAAAATACTTTCTGAGCACACAATCCATTTATTTTTTTCCTTAGTCTTTTCTTCCTTCTAAGTGGGCAAGAGGTTTTATTTGCTCGTAAATGAATACGTTTTCTCTCTCCTACAACAGAGATGAATCCTAATATTCATCAGAGCAGTAACATATTAAATATATGCATTACATATTGAGTGCATTGATAATGCTGTATATCCCTTTTGCCCTATAATAATATTAGAGGTATATTTAATAGGGTAGTGACAACATGGGTATGGTCCCTCTGCTTTCATGGAGCTTCCAGCCTAGTATATAACTTAAAATATACAATATTAATATATAATAAATACATATACATCCATTCTCTTTATCTTACACAGATCTTGATTTAAGTAATTCATTATAATTGGAAGCAATCCTGTACCTTCCCTTAGAAATAAAATCTGTGCTTGAAAAACATATTTGAAATATTATGATGGATAGTAGTGGCTAAAAATCAACTACTCAAATGGAGTTATCATTGGTGTTTTTTCCAGTATCAGGCATGTATATGTAATTGCAAACTATCAGAGAAATTTTAACTTGGTGTAATTCATCAAAGTTGAATCTTAAATCAGTGTACTGCCAAAGTTAACCTTTGAGTGGAAAACAAAAACAAAAACAAAAAACCCACCAAAAATGGAAAATCAGAGGAAGAACCCGAAAGGATTATATACCAAGCAGTAATTTCCTGGTCCCATATCTCACATTATCCAGTATGGCTTCAGTACCAGCTCTGTAACAAGCTTTACAAAGATATAACCAAACATATTTATTTCATGAACAGATATTTTACACTAATACACTTATATTTAACATTGATTCTGCCACATAATCTGAAAACACAGTTTTAAAAAAGTAAACCATACCAACCGAAAGAGCTGTCTTTTCTTATAGGTCTCATTGCATATGTTACTGTCTTCCAAGAGCCTACTGGAAATGAAAAACATGGTTTTTATGATATAAAACCTAATGACTCTAAATGCCCTATGCTAAATAGATGTGTACTCTTTTGTAACAGTACTGCTCTTGCAAATCAACCCCGTGGACTATGTTTTATGTGCATGATGTTGAATTTTGCAATAATAAATTAATGACAGCATGATTTTTCTCCTATCCTAGGCTTGAGGTGACAATACTAGATAAAAAGGAAAGGAAGAAGAAATAGAATGAATGGGAGAGGGGAAAATAAAAGAAATTGATGTTTAATAGATATTTAATTAGATATACTCATTGTGATTTTTTTTTCCTTTGGGTAATATTAAAGCTATCTTTTTGGGGGGGGGTGCAGAGAATGAAATACTGACATTCCAAAGACAGGTATCCAAGAAATGTATTTATTTTTGTAGGGAATCTACTCAATTAAATTTTTGTTTTTTGGAAATATCAAGGCTTGTTCATATATGCAATGCATGTATGTGACCAATTATTGTAATGATGAATATAATTCAATTTGAATCTAAGGGACACTTAAAGTGCATTAGCAGTCTTTTTATGCAAAATCCAAGTAAAATAAAATTTGGGCATAAAGCAGGGAAAATGACTGGCTGGATGACTAGGGAATAAGTTTTCCCACCAAACTGAATTATAAACACTCACTTCATCATTTTAGTTAGAATATAGAATTTTGGAATGCTTCATCATCATCCCTAAGATGTTAGTGCTCATGGATTCTTAATTTAACTGTAAATAAGGAATATTCACTTAAATCTGTATGGATTTTTGAAGTTGCTTTTGAATGCCTTCTTTAGACATGTTTTCTACTTTCATCTATTCTTCTAGAAGAGGCTGTTCAATGAGGGGGTTAGCTACTCAAAGATTTCTAACTGCTAATATTAAAGATAGCTGTTTTTTTCCCCAAGCATCTCTAATGCCCAGTTTAAATTTTCTCTAAGTACTAGAATTTAATCAAACAGCCTCCATTTTAATCAGTTTTACAGGGGCACCCATTAAGCCGACCCCTGAAATAAAGTTAAGCACCACTTTCTGAAAGGATACCATATTTCCATTCCAACTTGCCCACTCTGCAGCACCTTAAATGTGATTAATACAGTTAGTGTGGAATTCTTTAATTCCCCTTGGAAAAGCTGCAATCAAATCAATGGAGCATTTGAATATCTATGTTGGTTTAGAACTATTTCTTAAAAGTATATGTTAAATTTGAAAACCTTTGGCTCATATACTCAAGACTTTGTGTAAGTTGTGTAACCCATTCATCTCACAACAACCACCTCCCTGCTAACTCCCAAGTTAGTAAATTTAGATCAGATTAGATAGATTTCCAAGTTAGATTAATAGGTTGTTTAGAGTGAGAAACTTAAAACAATATTATTCCAATCATTGTTTGTATAGCTATATATAATTATGGGGCACAGGAAGTGGCTAATGATACCCAATATACAAATACAGTGAACATTCTCGTCCATAAGCCAATGAAATTGCAAGTTCATTTATGCTTTGTAATGCCTGGTAAAGGTAACAGGAATTAGACCTCTGGAAGGACCAGAAGTCGAGACTTTACATAAGGAAAATGTACAAACTTATGTCTGGAAGTAAGAGAAAAGTATTTCCCCAAATTAAATAGTTTTTAGGCATGCTAAATAACATACATGTGTATGCATGTAAGTGTGTATGAATAGATATATGTATTTACTTATACATATATTCAAGCACACACTTATATATGGGATATATATCTATGAAAATACAGGACACACATGACAGACTTTGTTCCTCTAAAGACATGAAAAAGCAAATTTCATTTTACCTGTTTTCCACAAAAAGGCTGTCCTGGGAGCAAACTGACTGAAAAATAAAAAAAAAGGCATTGTATCAGACGTTCTGGATGTGCTGAGGGATCCCAAATCCTTGCCTGCTTTTAAAACTACTTTTCCCCTCCAAGAGGAAAAGAATTAAGAGAAATATGTACTATGTTTTGAAAAAGTAGAAATAAAAAAGGAAAAAAAATGGTTAGAGTTAGAAGTGTAAACCATTCTCTTTCTCTTTCAGCATACAAGTACTTTTCCATCACGGCATCTCCAGGTCACGGATAGATTTAGCCCGTTTAGCATCAAGGTCAGGAGAAGAGAGATGTGAATGAAACTGTCCGAGAATCAGAGAACCATGTGTCCATCGGATCCTGAGCTAGCCGTTTCTTCTGGGGCTACGGAGATGCAGCCCCCAACAAGAGCCAAAGGACTGGTTCAAATCAAGGCAGGGCATGTGCACTTAGCACGATCCACCTGAGGATGGGAGAGCCATAGAACCACAATCCTGCAGTTATGACCTGGCAATGATAGACTGTCTTGGAATAAACAGACTGACTGCAAGACTCTCAAAATTGAAGAGATGACATCAATCAATTTGCAGAGGGGGGGCGCACAGAAGACATGTGAGAACAAAATGAAGCTAATTAGGAAAAAAAAAGGTCAAGTCCATCTAATATTTTGTTTTGTTCTGTTTTTCACACAGAAAAACAATGACTTTCTTCTTAGCTTCCATTCCCCTAGCTATCACTTCTCCACTATCTTGTGTTTAATATACATAGGGAAGAGAAAATTCCATTACCATTACAAGCTGGGGAAAGGCAAATCAAATTGAATTTTAACAAGCAGAAAAAGAGAAGTCTAAACCAAATATGGTGCGATGGCCCTATAACATAGGGACTGTGTTTAGGAATTAACAAAAAAACCATTTTCAAAGTACTGAGTTTCTAACCATAAATATATATGCCATATTATACGTGCAGATTTTCTAAATGATGAATAAATGACCTGCTATACGGGTAAAATGAGACTTAACAGGTCCATTTTAAGAGACAAAAAACTAAAGTAAATAAGGACCTTTCAATATTGAATTTTTAAAAGATTAGCTAATGTAACCACTACTCAGAGAGGCAAGCAGGATATTAGTTTCTCTGTACATTTTGTTGGAGAAATCATTTCCTTCCACTAAACCAAAGGGCTAGATTTGGGCATAACGTGTTTTCCTCAGTGGTCTGAACGTTTCAGTGAGGGCATCTCTAGAACCATTTGTAATTTAACCTTTGTGAATTTAACATGCATCCTGAGTATCAAGTGCACAAAAATCTTATTTAACAAAAAGCAAAAAAAAAAAAAAAAGATTAAGAAAAAAGCTTTTCAGAAAATATATTTTTTTTCAGTTTTTTTTTAATTTGACATTTGTATTTACAAACAAATACAATTTATGGACCACTGATATTATTCCTGTGGAGATCTCTTTATAGTAAGTGAAATATCCCACTATCTTCTTTTCCTTTAGTTTGGTTTTACTCCCACTTTCAGTCAAGTCATGGAATTAATTGTCTCAGGTATACATTATGAACTCAAGACTTCACTACTACTCAGCTCTTGTAGTTGGAAAGAGGTCAATTATGTTTATAATGTTCTGGCTGGATAATGGAATTGTTGAAACTTTACTACTTCTTTGAAAGAGTTGATCAAAGACATACTGACCTCTTCAGACTCATTAATCCAATAGTATTTTGAGGGAAGCTAAGCTGCCATAACTCTTTGAATGAAAAATAAGGCACCTGCAAGTTGAAGATAACTTTCCCAAAAACGTATCTCAAGAGTATTTTTCAATTTTTGTGCAAAGGTCCTAAAGATTTATTGCATGATCTTCCAACACAGTTTCATAAATAAGGCAGATATGGTTATGGGCTGTGATTCAGTAGCTGATGAAAATAAACTTTAAAAAAGTTATTAATATAACTTACGAATTTTAATAGCAGAGAAAGATAAAAGTGTCACAGTAATTAAGTGCAGCATTCAAAGCTGTCACTTATTTGCATTCTCAGATAGAAAGGGCTCTTTTTTTTCTTTCTTTTAAGTAGAAAATAGTTTTGCCTAATGGGTTACAGAATTCTCTCCCACACCCCACTCCCAATCCAGGTGGCATCACATGCCCTTCTCAACGGTTGTCACGGAAGAGAGATCCCAGTGCATGTTGGGGAGACTGCGGATGAGCCCCTCCTAGAATCCCTATATACACATAAATATCTCTCAGAAACCATCCTCGAGGCAAAACATGTCTTTCTCAAATATATTGCTTTAGCAATGTAACTTACCAAAGCCAGCAACACTGCATTGAATTAATCATAAAATAAGCTAAAATTCTTGCTAAAGGAAACAAGAGTTATATTTCAAATATTTCTGACTACAAAAATACACTCATTTTTTATTTGAGAACTAAATTGTTGTGTGCCTTGACTTACAACAACTTCATTCTCAAATAATAAATGTGCCTTATCTCAGGCTACCCAAATTCTCAAACTATATTGAAATTATTTTTCTAGCAAATCCCCAAATAATCTGAATATTTTTATTGTGTACCTAAATAAAAAAGCACACATGCACGCACACACACACAAACACACACACCTTAGACACCAAGATACATTTGTAAAATATTCAAGAACGCTACTAATGTTAAAATAAATTTTGATTTTGCTAAAGTGTAAATACCAGGAAGTAGTTCTCTATAACTATTGTAACTTTGAGTAGGAAAAAATAAACAAACAAAAAACCCCCAAAAAACCCTCTACGTAAATATGTCACTATTTGAACCTGTTTGAATGACTCCACTACTTACATCATAATTGGTAAGTGAAGCTGCTTTTATTACCTCAGTTTTTAAATCACGAAGACACTAAATTAAAGGCCAGCCAAGAAAGACATGAGATGCCTGTAACTTAGTTTCCTTATGCTGGATTCTTTGCATCGCTTTTATAATTGGCTTACTATACTTGACTTATTACCTTGTGTCCCTCGACAATCTGGGAAGTAGTAATGGTCATTTGGGAATCTGGAATTATACAGATGAAGACTCCCTAAAGTGTTCTCTCTTTATGTAAGTGGAAAGGAAGATGTGTTACTATAGGTATTCAAGGAAGTTCATATTGCTATGTTATGTACCTGTGTTTGCATTAATAAAAGATACAGTAATATCCTGTTAACACCTGGTGGCCCCCAATGATCCCTGCTTCTTGGTATTCACAATCAAGGTTTTTTTTCTAGTACCTCCACATTGTACCAGTTTGGTCTGTGTGTCCAACCAAATACAGCAGAAGGGAAGGTATGTCAGCTCCAAGATTAGGTTATAAAAGCCTGTAGCTTCCATCTTGGGCTCTATTTCTCTCTGGGATCATTTGCTCTGGGGAAGCCAGTTGCCAGGTCATAAAGATGCTCACTAGCCTTTGGAGAGACCCGCATAGTGGGAACTGAGATCTCCAATAGCCCACTAGGAACTGAGGCCTGCCAAAAACCATGCAGGTGAGTTTGGAAGCAGACAACGACTCCATCAAGCCTTCAGAAGACTGCAGCCCCAGCTGATGGCTTGACGGTAACCTCATGAAAGACTGTGAGCCAGAACTGGCCAGCTAAGCCACCCTCTGATTCCTGATCCCCAGAAACTGTGTGGCAAAAAGCATTTTGTGTGTTTGTTTTAAGCTGTCAAGTTTGGGGATAATTGATAGCAATTAATAGTGAAACACAGGGAACACCAACCTTATGACAGCATTGTTTCTACAGAGCTGCAGGGCTAGGGAGAAAGCACTGGGCATCTTTTTTTTTCCCCCCTCTGGGAAAGTGGCTCCTAGTCTTGTAAGGGTGATGAAAACTTGTAAAACTATGATAAACAATCAAGATCTCTTCCTTAGAAAAATGTACCTACACTCATGGACATAATATTTTGCAGATGATGTTGGGGATTTTATTTAATCTCTGAAGCCTTTCTAGGAGTATACTCTGGGTGCAGGATGCCAATTAAAAAACCCCAGCCCCAGGAGAAGATCAGGTGGAAAAGTAGTGCTAGAAACAGGCAGGTGCCCCACTTGAATTAATAACCCCGGGAGTGTTGGCCACCAGAGAGCCTTTCACAGCAGCTCACACCTCTACTCTACTCCTGCAGGGGGAAGAAGCCACAGTATTTCGAAGAAGGTTGCCAAATGATGCCATGGATTGGGAAGGCCATGGCAATAGCTTGGCGTTTAAGCTTTCCTACATTTCAGTCTGCTTTTACTTTTCTTTTTTTTCTCAAGTAAGCTCCACGCCCAGCATGGAACCCAACTAAGGGCTCAAACTCATGACCCTGAGCTCAAGACCTGAGCTGAGGTCAAGAATCGAATGCTCAACCAACTGAGCCACCCAGGTGCCCCCAGTCTGCTTTCACTGCTTTAAAAAATGTTAATTCAGCAGTTAGCTATTGAGGCTTGAAATAGCAATGCTTGCCTCAGATCTTTAACCTGGGGCCCAGGTTCCTTGCTGTTGATCTCCTTAGTAGGGCTGTCGGGAAATGCAATGTGTACAGCGAGTCATGCTGACCCTCCTTGCCCATGATGACGTCTCTGTCGACATGGGGATGCACACATGAAGGGCAGCAGCACAGGAAGCATCCTCCTCATAGACAAGCATCAAGGATGCTTTTCCTGCTGCCTAGCCCTTGAGAGTCTGGCAATGTGGCGCAGCTTTGAAAAAAAAAAAGCATAATGTTTGTATATTTATCTGGGTGATTAGTATTTGCTTTTCAACACAACTCATTTATAAATTTTATGACTTGCTAGAATGAGAATCAGAGGGAAATTGTGTGTGTGTGTGTGTAAGGCAGGGGGAAGGAAGGGTGGGGAGAGAGAAAGAAAGAGAAAGCATAAAAAATAAACTGACCTTCAGAAAACTTTCTCTCCATGAAGCTCATCGGACAGAAACACTGCCTCCCAGTCCACTTGGGCCACCCCTACGCTACCATGAGTACAACAGAGCCTCTCCTTACTTCGTCCTTTTATCCAGGAAACACAATTAAAAGTCTACCATGTGTCAGGTTATCCTTTGCACCACCAATAACTCTAATCATAAGAAAAGTCTAAGTAGCCCACACATATGCAGAATCTTCTAGAATTGCACGTGGGCAGTACCCTTCTACAGCTACCTCTCTCAGACTCTGCTAACTCCAGAGCTCTGAGCCAGATTATTCAATCATTAAAGTTCTATTTTATTGTATCCAAGAAAGGCAGCGAGGATCTAGAAGAGATCACAGAAACCTGTGTCAACATGAAAGAAACGCATTGTTGGTGGAATTTGAATTTCCTCTGCAGCTTCATGCTGAAGGATCCAGCACGAGCTGGAGGACCTGGGAAACTGGCTCAGGCCTGAAACCTCCAAGGTCAGAAGTCCTCCTCCATGCTAAGCGGTGGAGCCCAGGTCTCTAGTCTGGCTCGGTAATGGCCTCCAGAGCAAATCCCAACGGGAGGTAGGATGGCCCACCTAACCCAGCCAAGCCACAGAAGGTCTGCACCAAGGAGCTGCCACCTCTGTGGTTGCAAAGGGAAGAGCCCACATCTTCAGAGGCTGCCAAATGATTCCATGGCATGGAAAAGCTATGGCCCTCGCTTGCCCTTTTAGCTTTCTTGCATTTAAATCCAGCTGTTTTAAATCAGTTTTTCATTTTTATTTAGTTTAATCGCATTTTATTTTGGACACAGTGGGTAAAAGGATAGAAAAATCCCCCACCACATTTTCTTTGCTGGGATTTGAACAAAAGAAATCATTTTATGATTATTGCCTTGTGACAAACTGCTCACAGACCTAATCTGATGTGAAACTGAGGGGGAAGATGAGTATTATCATTTAACTTCGATATAATAAAATGCCTCTGCTTGCTAAGAAAGCAGAAAACTCTGTGTTTATGTATGTGATTAACAGATTCTCTTTCTTTTTTATATGTCTTTCTTCTGCTCCACGTTAGTGTTAGAAGGACAACACTTGGCTGTCTGCGGGCTAATATGAATGTGAAAGCATTTTTTTCAAATCTGACAACCTCGCTGGGTCCGTTTTAGTGACCAAAATCACGCCTCTATTCCCCCTTAGGTCACATCCTAGGAACACACACAAGCCTTGGCTACTTTTCCGTCACTTCCCTGAACCAGGTCCTCTTCCAGAAACACCTCTGGTGAGCTGCCGTTGGATTTATCCCTGGCTCCAGCCTCCTGAGTCCTACCAGCTGGCTGTCTGGGGAAGGACCGCACTAAAGAGGCAATTAAAACAACTACTCACATCGTGTGCAAATATTCTCTCCCTCACTCTCTGATATTCCTCTTCTCTCTCTTCAATTGATTTACTTCGTCTGTCATCTCTAAAGGGATGCATTCTGTTTCGCTGAACAGAAAAAAGAAATCAGTACGGTTATCCAAGTTGAGCTGCTGGAAATCTGCAGTTAAGCAACTGTCAGCCGAGAATAATAAATGTTCACTTAAATAAATGGAGCATGAAGAGTCTCATTCCCTCTGGTCCCTAAGGAGGCAGTGCCGGCGTGTGTGGTGTGCCGTGTGTGTGCATGACACGCAGTGGCAGGTGTCTACTGCTCCTGCTGGTCTCCCCACTGGATGCAGGGAGTACAGCTGTTTCCAGAATGAAAGCACCTGGACGTGTGTCAGGTGTTCAGCCAGCTCAGCTATGACGTGGGTCACAGGGAGGGACTCTGTCTCCTTTGCTAGCCTGTATGCTTTGGAGTCCTTAGACAAAGGCGGAATGCTGAGGAAGTGGCTAGTTCAAGGCGACTAAGGGAAGAAATGGCTCTGAAAACCTGGGCACTAGAGACACAGAACAAGGGAACCGAGCAAGTAACGGGCAGAAAGGAAGCTGGACTTGATGTCTCCACGTCCTAATTTGTGTTTCTTCTTTACTCAGTGACTGACTGATCCTGTGCCCTGCATTTTTGCATAGAAGGTAGAAGCTAAATTTGAAAAGCCTGTTGACTGAGGTCAATGCCAAGGAATCTAAAGTAACAATCCAAAGAACCCAGCATGAGGACTGTTCTTCAGCCTTGCATCTGTACCGCTGCCTGCATCTCAACGACCCTCCCATCGTCTTCTTGCCATTCCTCACAGAATGCTCTGCATTAACCACGTTCATCCATCCATTCAACAAACGCCCACTAAGTGCACGACACAGGCATGTGGCTTGGAGTCAACGGGAGCTACTTGACATTTGATGGTGGTAGCGGTGGAGATAGGAAGAAATGAGATATACAAATGACGAACAGGTTTTTTTAAGAAAAAGTGCGTCAGAGATGCACGTACTGGCTTCCAGTGACTCCCTGAGAGCCATTAAAATAATAACTTCAGCGAGATGCATATTGTCTTAGCTTTAAGAATTCTAAAGCAAAGTCTATTTTCAAAAAATCTATTTTGATTGGCAGAGACACAAAGTGTAATTGTAATGGCATTATATAACTCCCTACTGTTCTAACTATTGTTTAATATTTGTTTCCTTTTGCCATTCACTTAGTTTTCTTCCTAATTACCCAGGATCCCACCCCCCCCACCCCCAGTCTGGAGAAGAGGTTTAGCAAAGTCTCTCAGCCCTTGTTGAGGAACCATAAATAGGGCTACTCTAGGACAACGTAATGTTTAGTCACAAGCAAAATACCCAAAAAGGAGAAAGTTCTGCTACAGTTCATGCAAAACAAGCACACGGTTTACATGGAAAGTAGAACATGGGGAGGAGGAGCGGGGAGACTAAAACATGAACTTGATTCTTTTCTGTGAAGACTTATTTTAGGAGAGTTGCAAAATCCACCTGTCCTCACCATAACAAGGTTTGTTCTTTACAGCTACACCAGTTGGTCATCGGTCCGTATTGAGAGTCCAGCTCAATTTGTGCACAACTGAAGGACAAAGCTGTAGGGGTGGAAGGACTGCCACAGTTACACAGACATCTGGAATTGCGATGACAAAGCTTTCCCCGACAGCGCCGGCTGGTGGCATCCCAACCCGCCCAACACATGCAGCAGGAACTGCGCCAAGCACCACCCATGCAGCCCAACACAGAGCCATTGCTGAAGCAATCAGGACATGTTCTCTTGGCTACCCACTGAATGCCAGAGGGGGAGGCGAGGGGGCAAGGAGGTTGGTAAGAGGACAGTCAGTGCTGGGGGCGGGGTGGGGGGAGCTGGGGGGGGAGAAGGGGAGAACAGAACGACAAGAACAGAAGTCAGCCCACCTTCAAAAACAACAACGTCAGCCACTCTCAAACTTGAGAACCAACCTGATTGTCTTCTTTATCAATACTAGAGTTATCTCGCTTCAAGATAAACCGCTTCTGGGATTCTTCACCTTTTTCATCTTTTAAATGTTCACAAAACCTTTGCTCTGGTCTGCCAGCAAAGTAAAACATATCAATAAAAAAGTTTTCCCCCCTGTTTAAAGTTATTTTCTTAGTGCTGTTTTTCCCCCACAGTGGCATTCAACTTAAATAAAAAAAAAAAAGAAGAAGTTACGCATGGTTTTGACACTAGAATTGCCGGCATTTTACGGATAGGTAATAATATGTCACTTCCCAGGTCTTGTTAGAATACCTTTTGTTGTCTGGAATTCGGAGTCTTGTTTGCTGAATGCTTCTCACCATGGCTGAAGTTAAAAAAACATTTTAAAGACCTGAACATATATAGTGTATAGATGTTTTCTTTCATTATTTTGACCTCCACTGCTCCTGAATTCAATCAAGGTCACAGCCACATTATCAAACAAATGCACATGTTTAGAACTTGGGCAGGCCATATTAATTCACCAACATCTGCAGACTAGGGGGACAGCTCCTGTTATATCGTCCCACTCAAGAGCCATCAGAATCCATAGCGAGAGAGGATCATCTATAAATTCTTTCCGTCTTTCTCAATGACAAATGCTCTGGAATCTGGCTCCTGTAGACTCTGACATCCTTGACCATGTCTTGTAAATCAGTTCAGTAATTGGGGAAACGGGACATATTTAGTTTAAACAACTTAATGGCTGATTAGCATGGGGGAAATGCTCCAAGCAGTTACACACTATTGATTAGTCAATTGATTTTTCAGGTCCTCTTAATCATTTTGTATTATTACTGGAAAGGGCTCCACGTTCTTGTTAATTTCCCACACTCGTCACTGCATGCCACAGAACTCAATGAATGGCTCGGGCATGGGTTCACCCCCAGAGGAAGTGCTAAAATGTTTGTCCCGGGTTTAGAAGAAGTTGTAATTGATGACTCTCATTAAAGCGTCTCTGTCATGTCTAATGTATTACATCTGAAGCCCAGTGGGTTTTCTATCTCTACTGGGTTCATTATGAATTCTGTTATTGGAAAGCCACTTGTCAGTGTCTGTTGTTTAATATGGGTGACCAGTAATTAAGGGAATCTCATAATTTCCTTCTAGCTCCCAAATAAGCAAACGGTACGTTGAAAACAAAGGAGTCATTTAAGTGTATAGTTCAAATCTTGATGGGATGCATCCTTTACTCAAATACATGTACACAGATTATACTGATATTGGCGAGCAGACACTAACAGAAAATTGGAATAATACCAGTTATGGCTTCCAGAACTGTGTATGATTTTTGCAAAATGGTATCATTGTCATACTCAATCCTTACACTAAAACTCTGATGTAGGAGGAGCAAATATTTCATGCCTCTTTTACAGATAAAGAAACCATCCCTCAGTGATCCTTTTGACTCCCAAGTTTATAGATTTTCCCAGCAAGCCACAGGCATCAAACAGCCTATTCACATCCTTGCAGAGATGTGATTCAGTCTCTCTGCTTCCACAGCACACAGCAGGCCAGAGCCCCTCCAGCCTCACAAGGAAGAACAAAAACCCTGCATGACATCATCCGAAAGATCAATGGAGATGTTTTCCACCAAAATTAAAATGTAAAATATGATACAACAAACAATCTGCAAGTGCAAATATGGCATTTGAAAATCAGAACACTAAGGGAACAAAGTAAACTTGCACTTTACAGTGAAAAGGCCATTTCCAGTGGAGAAATTAAACGTGTCTCATGTGTCGCATGCTTACAGCACATTTCTTATTCCACTGGATAGTCTTATAATGTTAGTGTGAGTATGGGCAGGCCACTGTAAATAGTAACAATTCTCCAAGAATTTTTTTAAAGCCTCCTAATGTTTTCAGCCAATACTTAGACGTTACCCTTTTTTTTTTTCTTTTTTTAATGTAGCAAGTGAAATTGGGATATTAACTTAGATACAAATGCTGATTGTGTCAATGCTAAGTAAGTCTCTCTGAATGTACTTAAACTCCATAGTCTGGTGAATTCTAGTAGATAAAATGCTTTGCTTGCTGCTAAGTTTACAGATCTATTTCTTGTATTTGGTGCTAATAGTCTGTAACTGTTCATTTAGATATAAAGTGGTCTGGAAATGTGAACTTTTTGAGTCACGAGCGGAAGGTGAATTTGCTTTAGGCTAACTTCTTTAAGAAGAAAACCGCTTTGAGATTTCAGCATACTAACCAGAGCAAGAATGTAAGCTCCCTGTTGGTAGAGACCTTGCTTTTTAAAGACTTAATTCTTAGTGCCTAGAACAGTGCCTGGAATATGGGAAGCATTTGGTTGAATAAATAAATTAACCAATGTATGAACAAATGAAAATTTAATAGAGCTGTTTATGAATCACTGTATTTTAGGGACAGATCAAAGAGTCACTGAATAAGATATGCAGTCATAAATTTTTAAATTATAAAATGACAAGAGAGAGTTTGGTTAGTAGAATCATAAATTCAAATTTAGAACATGAGGAAGGTCTTTAAAAATCAAATTTATGTTTTGGTTCAAGTTGACACAAAAGGATCATGTTACTTTAAAAAAGTCTTTAAAATTTGAGGGCAGGGCGCCTGGGTGGCTCAGTTGGTTAAGCGACTGCCTTCGGCTCAGGTCATGATCCTGGAGTCCCGGGATCGAGTCCCACATCGGGCTTCCTGCTCAGCAGGGAGTCTGCTTCTCCCTCTGACCCTCTTCCCTCTCGTGCTTTCTATCTCTCATTCTCTCTCTGAAATAAATAAAATCTAAAAAAAAAAAAAAAAAAAAGAATAAAATTTGAGGGCATTTTGGGAAAAGAGGTGGAAATGAGAATCTCAGGTTTTTTTTGTTTTGTTTTTTTTTTTAGTTTTGGAACTTCTCAGTTTAAAGCATTATAGCTACAAGAGCTGTTCAAACATTATTTTTGAAATTTCATTTACATTTCCTCATAGTGCTGGCTTATTTGGTTTTCATAGCAGAACTTATTTAGGAAAAATACATCTATCACATAAGAAAAGAATAGTCAAAGGAGCTTGTTCTAATCAATAATGTAAATGTGATTCAGAGCAAAAGTATTTCTTGTTCTGATACATATGCAAAGTGCATTCTCCATAATAGCTTTTCAAAAATATCTTGTTTAAATTTTTTTTCAGACTTTAGAACCTAATAGTCGAAATTATTAGTTCCTTCATGATTTTCCAAAACCATTTTAACCGATCACAAAATAACCACTTGAAGTGTGTGTAAAATGGGGCTGGGGGGTGGCTAATAAGATTGCTCCAGGTTGATTTTATTGGGAATTATCTATTACTCTAGAGCTAAAGGGCAATTTGCAGTTAAACTCAGGCAAACTAAAGTATACAACTGAAGTACTGCATGTGATTGAACTACAAATTACTGGTAATGCACCATTATATTAGAGCTTTTAAAAATCCTTTTTACCACAAATTTAACATCATAGCAATGTTATTTCTTAGCCATAAAAATGAATGGAGCTGAAGTAATATATTATGGACCTTTGTTTGAAATGGGAATGAGTAACTTTCGGGGTATCAATATGAGTATGTAACTCTAAGACAAACTCCTCCAAGCTGCAAAATGTCATGGTATTTATTAAATTAATGATAACTAGAGTTGACTACATACATATCTCCTAGTCATGCATGACACATGTCTAATTGCTTTTTCCTGATGGCTGATAGTCCATGAGGTATTATTTCTAGCTTTCTCTCTATCATCATCAAGAAGCAGAGAAAAGGGATTTAATGTTTCTTCTTGATGAAAAGATAGTTTCTTCTTCTTAAGGCACAATTTGTAGTAGGTATTTATTGTAAAACTCATTGTTCGTGTGTGGTGAACTGTACTGGCATTTCCAGTCAGTGTCTTGGTATCTCCAAACAAACCTCTGAAAAATCAGAATGAAGTCCTCATTGTTCCTCATTAGACACGGCTCAGGAACTGAGAGGCAGTGTGGCTGAGTGAAACTCTGAGTAATACATTCAAACTCTGTCTTCTAGTCAATCTGTTACAATTTTAGGATTTTTTCCCCCCCTTGAAGCTTAAAATAAATGAACACTCATTATTATTTTAAAAATCTTTTTCATCTAGAAATATTTTCACCACCAGTTTCTTAAGACCAAATTTATTAGTTTTCTTCCAAATAGTTAAGCCTAATCCCCCCATTCCCTACATACACACAGATGAAAAATTCAATTCTACTAAATATGGATAGGCTCAAATGGATGCCTTTGAATTTCACACCGAATAACTGAAAGATGGTCATCAATATGCATAAGTATCTTAACAAAGAAAGATTTCTGTGCACAACAGGATACAATATTTTGATGGTCTAAGACATCTATCAAAAATATTTTAATAGTCGAACATATTAGGGGAGTCTAAGAAGCACTGTTCCCTTAGTACTTTTAAGTCAACTGAAATATTTATAGCTGATGACTTTAATTTAAAAAATAAAGTCCTACATTCTTCTTCAAGTATTTTGCAACATCCCCTACCATTTGGTCATTTTATACCATTTCGTTGTCTTTTAAGTGAGACCACATCTTACAAACCCCATATATGCAGTGCTAAGTACCCAGCTTCCTTTATTTGCATCTTTCAAATTCATATTCTCAATTTTCTATACCTTTGACAAAATCATTTTATTCTTCTCTGTCTCGATTGTACTGTACGTATAAACAGAGACATGCAAGCTAACATGGGACTTGACCTTGACCCTCCTTTTACATAAGGCTATTCATGAGCGACAACAACATTAAGCAGAATGCTCAAGACAACAAAGGTCTATAAGGCATCTCCTCATATTGGTGCCAGTACCCTGGAAAGTAGGCCATGTGCATTCAGAGCCTTATAATTGTCAGTCCACCCTGACAAAGGGATTCCATTTCCAAGAATGAAGCCAAAGAAAATAGTAACACATGGATACACAGTGTCATTGTTCAAGACAGCAAAACAGTGGAAATCCAGGTGGCCTGATTAAGTAGCTTAAAATACCTCCATATGTAATATGCAGCTCTATAAAATGATATCCGAGGCTACTAACATAGAAAAGTGATGGC